AATGTCAAATAAATAGTAGTGTGTGTGTAATGTTAATATATTAAAATTAATATTACACACACTACCATTTATTTGACATACAGACGCGTATATACTCTTTTGTTTATTGTCAAAGTCTGTAATTAAATTGAGAATAGACAACGTTCTTTGTCTATAATATTATTTGTTTATAGTCTTACTGAATCTTAAATTAATTATGGTCGAATCTCGATCAAGTATAAATAAATAAATAATTTCATACGATTCCAACTCAACCTTTTCATCATTACGAAAACCCGAAGACAATTCACTGCGTGGTATGTCAAGGCAGACGCGTGATAGGATAGACTGGCATTTGAAATGCATTGTATCGAGACATTCGCAAGTAATGTGCCGCCTTTCTGATCGGAACTGAACGAAAACACCCTAGTAACCTTCGTATTTCTGGTTCAATCTAGATCAATAGGCATGCAAATTTGTTTTACTTATGTGTAGTATAGTTCATAGTTCACTCATACTTGATTCATAGGGTTTTCTATTTCGTAAGCTAAGGTTAATAAATAATATTAAATACTGTCTTAAATATGTATGTAGCAGTATTTAGTATCATATATGTAGGAACAGATATTCATTTACATATATCATATTGCCTGTTAGCCTCGACTTTGTCAAAACGTAACAAATATACATACAGATTCATTAATATTGATTATACCTGCAAGATAAAATATCTAGGAAACTGTACCTTCTACCTGAATCAACGATACGTACGTCTAGATTAACCTAGAGATGTATAAATTTATATAGCTTAACATACATATATTACAATATTTTTTTTCTTTTCTATTATCAGTAGTTTCCAAACTACGTCAGACAGATATTTCATGAAAATTATAAAAAAATATCCAAATACAACTTATTATGAAATAAAAAAATAAATCTGGTCTCTTAATTTTTTGTTATATATTATACATTAAAATATATTTTAACTATTATCATGTGAAAGTTAGGTATAATTTTAATAAAAGAATATCAAACAGTTAGCAAAATTTAACACTTTACAGCAACTGAAATTCAATAATTCCCATTCAATTTAAAACGCATATTTAATAATAATTTAAATTGACTTACTGTCAACTGTTAACTGTTTATATACAAAATGTTCATAATATACCACAGATAATATTATTGTTAGGTAATTAAATAGATTTCTCTTTCACCATTACTTTTCAAGCATATTAAAACGATTCGCGAAACGTCTACACCGTTTCGCGGTTCGTTACATATAATCGTTTTAATCTGTTACCATAGAATGAGATGACAAGTTATTTTTGAACTTTGACATTAATTTCGGGATCACAGAAAATAATATGACATAATATTTATCGTAATACAAGTTGAGAACAATACAAATATTTCTAAATGTTAAATAAATACATATAAATAAAATTGGAGTGTCTGTTTGTAATATCGAAATAACCGTTTTTACTACATGCATTTAAAGGTACATACACAAATACAACATTTTTTACAATTTTTGTCTGTCTGTCTGTTTATTCCGGCTAATACTATTAATAACGGCTGCACCGATTTTGACGGAACTCTTTTTGGGAGGTAGCTGATGTAATACGGAGTAACTTAGGCTACTTTTATTTTAGGACAATAAAGTTAAATTCCACCCGAACGAAGTCGCGGGTACAGCTAGTAATAAGTAAATTTGATTTATTTCTTTGTTATTGATAAAATTAATAAATACTCAACTGCTTTTAAAATCATATTTCAAATATAGAAACACATTCTATATTTTAAGTAACATTTAAAAATCGAAAACCAATCAATCATAAAACCATATAAACAGTAGTTTCCTTAAAAAATGTAAATATCTATGTGAAGAGAGACACCACTAGAAAATAAAGATATATGCTAAAAATTGATATGAGAATACCTAACGTAGAATGACAGTCGTTAGTGTGGACGAGATTTCATTAAACCCGCCGAAGAACCTGTGCTAAAATAATCTTAGTCTTAGACACGTGTACTATGGTACATATTAGTAGCCAAATTAATCTCATACTACATGATTATATTATTAATGAGCTCCTGAGATTCCGACCCTGTTATAGATGTCTTAGTCACGACTTGACATAAACTCATACTAAGCAGATCTTGTACTATAGGTACTGAACAAACGATAGAATCTTTTAAACACTTTTGTAAATACATATTATACATAATACACATATACGCTCAAAACAATATGAAGAAATATACGAAATTATACTTCTGAATACTAATGTTCGTATCGTGCGGAAATCGAACCTGCGAACACCGGAAGCTTAGGTAAAGTGTCAAACTCCTACACTACCAAGGTCGCCTAGAATTTGAATTAAATTAATTCAAACTTTGAGTTTTACAAAGAAAAATCTATATGTTTCACCTAAGATGAGTTTAAGTTTAAGTTTCGGCAACGCGCACGTGACACCTCTGGTGTTTCAGGCGTCCATAGGCTACGGTAACCATTTACCATAAGATGGGCCGTATGTATATTTGCCGCCATAGTATATATAAAAAACAAAGTTCCTCGATCAAACTAAACCTTTACTATTTGTGATTAGAACTAGTTTGATCAGTCTATTAACTATTAGAATTAGTCATTTTAGTACGAAAGGGTAACGCCTGAGGTATACTACAGGTGATGATGTAATGTGTATATATACAAAGGTGGAAGTTACCATTTACCATCAAGTGGGCCATCAACTATATGCCTTTTTATTTATATAAAAATAAAAGAACATAATGTAATCGGGGCTTGAACATGGGACAAATGAACGGAAGTTACGACGTATTGCGAAGTTCATTGTACTGTGTGTAGTTATCTAGAAAATGATGATTGTTTTAATGTAAATATTGTCATTATGTTGTTTGACGGATAACCGTACATATTGACCGTTTTACCGTTTGTTTTATCATACTAAAATTGGTTTAACTGTGGATAAACAAGATGGTAGTTTCTCATCATATTCCTACTAGCGTTGTCCAGATTTGTTATTTTATAAAGAAGGTATTTACATATAAATAAAATTGGAGCGTCTGTTTGTAATATTGAAATAACCGTTTTTTACTACATGCATATGAATATAAATACGGTACATATACCAAAATAACATTTTTTACAATTTTTGTCTGTCTGTCTGTTTGTTCCAGCTAATCTTTGACAAGACAACAGAGGTTGAAAAGATGGCATAGAGCAAGCCATACATACATACATAAAAAATATATGTATACGAATGCAAAACATTAATTAATTTAAAACCAACATGGTGTTACATCGAGAATAGAACGCAACGACATTAACAATTCGCAGACGATTTCCTGAATTCGCGTTGCGAATGCGTGATCGTCCCATCCGGGTTTTTATGTACCTCGCTAAGTTTATTTAAATGAAACGTATAGGAGTTTATTGTAAGTTCATCTTTGTATTTCTTACAAGTTGCACCGAGTTACTTCAATACGAGTTGCTTAACTTAGCACCACACTTATCGCCTGTGGTATATGGAACAACAATTATTTATAACATTTTTGTTTATCAATCGATTAAAATAAAACAAACATAATATGCTATGTGAAATTTACCATCCAGTGAAGTGAAATCCGCGCCCATTTTAATAAAACCGTTTTTAAACAAGCTCAGACAAGTTAATAAAAATTCCATTATTAAAATTTTTATTTTATATTTTTAATAATTATTGTTTTAGGATTCTTTACTTTAATGAAGCCTCGTAATAATTGATTTTTCATACATCTATGTACAGAGAGCCATCAATTATATTTACATTATTCTTCTTTGTCATCCCAATTACATAAAAAAATATCTAAAGACAGTATTAACTACGTTGGAATCTTAATGGCATGATATGTCAAGGTGGAACAAAGCAACAAACAATATACAGCAACAAAATGAAAATTATAATTAACCATCTCAAAATTACTTCATATATTTGTTACCATAAAGGTACACTAGTATATTGTAATAAATTTCCCATACAATTTAATGTTAATATCATTCCAAGCTGCAAAAAAACAAAAAAGTTACGAATTAATTTTATTTCGAGTACGAAATATATGGTTTTATGAGAGATTAATAAGAGAATGCGAGCAAAATATAGTTGAATACAGCCAAGATTCACTATTGTAAACGATGTGTATTAAAAGAAGAATTTCCTCGATATTAATGTTGATGGAAAAACAACAAATAATTGTTACAAATAATAACAAGATTGGTTGGTATTTCTTACGCTACAATTATATTGTACTTGTGACAAAAAGCCATCAACGTTTTACATGACGAGTCACGGACAAAACCCCAACCGTGAAATATGAGCAGAACATAGAAAAAGTTATTACTAATCTAACAAAAAATATTATGACCAAATAAGGATTAAAAAACCAGTATATGCGATACACAATAGAGTCCATTTTTACACACACAATGGAATTTCAAAGGCCTCTTGCTTTGCGAAATCAGTTGATATCATGAAAATTAGTTGATTTTATACTGTGGCTGGAAGTCTATTACTAAAAAAAAGCGCTGGTTAAGTTACCTGTAATCATTAGGGTCATAGTGTAAATTTAGTTTTTTTATATAACTGGAATAATAATCAAAGTAACAGCCCACGTGGTATAAATGACAGTCATCGCCTATATAGGTCTGTGAAGAGCGCTATGGGTGTTATATGATCATATGGTGCCCGCATGCTGTTCAAATGTGTCCATTCCGGAGGACTTAGATGTTATGCCTTTCTATTCCACTGCCATATCTTAACATCCAATCAAAACACAGCTTACAAAGTTGCCTTCACAGCTAGCTGAAATAGGCTTGATAAAGGTACCAAGAATGCATGCGAGACAAGTTTGTACAAACTCAGACTCTGATAAAATGACAAAAAGTCACTTCTTGTATTTTGGGGCTAGATATGTTCATTACAGCCATTTATTTTGTATATGTTTCAATAATATTCCAGAACCAGGATGTCACCGGCAGCGTCGTTTGCAGAACGATGGGCCCAGGACAATCTGATCCGGGATCCGTCTGCGGAAGAATTGAAAGTCCTTGATATATTCCCCCACACGTGTGACGGGGATGAGATCGAGGCAGCGAAGAGGGCGAGACGGTACTATGTTGCAAGAGGCCCTGGAGGCTTAGCACAGTTATGGCATAACAGGCATCCAGACGACGAGGATATTCTATCAAGCTGTCAAGATTCGTGAGTAAAGCTCTACTCACATATATGGTTACTAATAATTTAAACGTTGACGAAAAAGTTTTGAAGTTAGGACGACGAAACGCGTCGTCCTAACTTCAAAAATGACGAATTTCTAAAAAAATTGTATCCCCTATTTTCTTTTACCCCTTTAAGAGTAATTTTTTTATAACTTTGAAATCATATTTTTATATTTACCGGCCAAAAATAAGTTTCAAGCTTCTAGCTTTTAAAATGACAATACTTTCATACAACCTTTCATCTCCCTTTTTAACCTCTTACAACCCTTTTTTCACATTACAAAGTTGCCTATGTCCTTTCTCAGGATCTAAAGTATCTGTGTACCAAATTTCCTTTAAATCGGTTCAGTAGTTTTGGCGCGAAAGCGAGACGGATAGACAGACAGAGTTATCTCTCATTTATAAATTAAGGTAAAGATTATCTTGATTTCCAGGTTTATAATCCCCCTGCGGGCGCGGAGCGTCGGCGGCAGGCGACTAACATTAATCAGATTGCCGGCACCCACTGCATTAGATAGGCCCCTATCAGCTAAAGCCCTTCTTACAAGATGGCTTATGATATTGGATATTAGGTGAGCAAAACTTCTGTATTTCTTCTATAGTAGAGTAATGATTAAATGGCCACACTGTTTTTTTTCTATTCTTGCAAATATATTGTTGACAGTTCAGTGTTTTATCTTAATGTTTATTTTGTGGAAAAATCTGTAAAAAAAACAGGGATAACCTTAAGGCATCATAGCCTAGTCAAGTCATGGGGTCGCGTGAGCATTCTATCAAGAATCTGGCGTCGCTATGTTTTACCCTAGATGTAGAGTATAAAAATATTATGTAGTATAATTTTCTTTAGTGTAGTTCAGCGTTAAACTAGAAATAGTGGCTAATACCAAACTAGGCAAAGCTTATTGTAGCTATATATTATATAGGTTTATACTTTACTAGGAATTTTTTTCTAAATATAATATGTAGATTCATAAAGACACCGAGACCAAAAGATATGCGGTTATACCTATGAATACAAGTATTTTGTCTTCGAGACTTCAACCGGCAACCATAGGAGGTCGTCTTAAATCAAGGCCGTAGGTATAGACATTACCTTAAAATGTGCTTATAAACCATGAAATTTATACGTATTATAAATATTAATATTAATCCTTGATCAAATAAAACCGCAAACCGCTATGTAATAAAATGACACAGTGTATGTAAGTTCTATTATGATCCGGAAATCTACTGCAGAAATACAATACCATCATAGATGCAATTTATTTACCAAATACATACATTTTTTACTCCGAATAAACTTTGTTTGCAGTTAGATAATTTTATTCTATCAGATGGCCGGATTTTTTTCTACCACCATTGTGATATAAAATATATTTTCACCGAGGTACATTTTATGCACGATTATTTGCACAGACTACCTTACACAGACGTCTCACCTATTTCTGACTCTCAAGAAGCTTGCTCTGTTTTCTGTTTCGATTGAAGAAAGGGATATCATCTTAGTCCTCCAGAATGGCAATTTCTGAGGAGTTCCACGGATGTCACATGATAGTGCTATTTAGTGATGATTTCAACTTACCATCAGGTTGACCCTCAGCTTCACACAGCGCCATCTACTCCAGTGCTTGTATTATGGATAGTAGACTGCTGATATAAATACATATATACACCGAGACTGTTACAAACAATCATAGTCATGAATATAAATGTTTGTACCGTACGAGGAATTGAACCCGCGATCATCGAAAGTAAAGCAATGCTAAACTACTAAGCCACTGAGGCCGCAATCAACTAATCAAAACAAACTTTTTACTAAATTTGGCTCAGACTTACATTTTCTTCTTCATGTGATCTCAGTTAAAGCCTTTGATATTAACTGAAATCACATTAACGAACGTAGTTTATGATTTGGGTTACCATTGTGGTAAGAGGATTAACTAGAAACTGCATTAGTGTGTTTAGCTGTCCAGTACGGTAATGTTTGGGTTATATTCGCCTCTTGTAGGGAGAGTTCTATACCTAGTGAAACATCAAAATAGCTTATTCGTAATTTCTACAATACGTATTAATACAATATATTAGAACAATAAATATAACATTGTAACCAAACTGTTTAAATTCAGTCACAGTTGATTTTCACTTACAGAACCAGTCTCTATTGTGTAATAGTGTTTATTTATTTACTAATTTACATGCATCACATCTGTAACGAATGTTATATGAAATTATTCTATGAACGTGACAATGGGTTTTGTTATTTGTGTTAAGCCATTAATAATGAGAACACTTGAAAAAATATACCACTCTAAACTCTCGAACTAACGTTACTTCTTAAAGGCTTCTTGTGAGGTTGGCAGAGCGGAAGGTCTAAATTTTAAAAATAGCAGTAACACTTTTTTATACAGGCAAACTTTTATATTTACTTCATTTCAAATTTTAAAGTGCCTAATTTTTTTGTAATTTAATCTGTTGGTTAACATATTTACGAAAATTTGTAGAAATGGACGAATTTGTATGAAATTTTATAAACCATATATAACATAAATTATATTTTATGAAGACAAAATTCGATACTGAGACAATGATAGTTCATTTCCAACAATAAGGAACTATATGACTAAAACCAAGAATACAAAAGCAGTTATGATTTGAATCTTTTGTTTGTGTATATTTTGTGACATAGCGTTTAAATTATTAATTTATACCTACTATAGAAGATATTTAAAATGTAAGAAATCCCTGTCCATCCAACCAAAGTCTTCCAAGTACTTGTATACAGAATAAAATAATTATAATAGTTAAAAAATAATCAATTTCAGATTACGCGAAGATCCATCACCTGGTGAGGAGGTGGCTTTCATTGACGTCTCGGATTTGCAGCCCGCCCATTTGAAAAGCCATTTCAGAAAGTCATATTGGCGAGATTTTTATCTATGTATGAAGGTAAGTTTGTCGACTTTGATAAAGTCAACAACTCTTAAAAATACTTAAGTTAATTTAACTATAATGTATAACATATAATATGCATTACTATTATTATATATATATATATATACTATTATTATAATATTATATATATTATACATTATAGTTAATCTAATATATATTACTATTATTATTTATGTTTATTCATTCCATCATGCGCTATCCACCACCTTCTGTCTTCTCTTCTACCCAAAGGTTGTCTGGAAAAGCTCGCTTAAGGGATAAGACCGCCTTTTGTAACTACATACTATGCATATTCTGCTTTATTTTTTATTTTTTTTAAATGTGCAATAAAGTGTTATGAATAAAAAAATAACTAATAGTATGACAGTCTAAAGAATGTCGTTATAAAATAATACCTCTATTTAAAAACCGAGATTGACTACGTATACAGTGGTGTACATGGGTATCTCTGTCTATATGGAGATATTTAGTGGATATATAGCAGCAAATACAATTTATTCTAGATTTCATACGGTTGCACATAAAAACATAACTGTTACTTAGCAACAACTATACTAATTTTAAATTTAAATTGGTTATACTTTTTATTCCACAACCAATGTGCCTAATACTGTTTTAAGCAATTCAGTCGCTAACCAGCTTGCTACGTATACTATATTTTGTTTGAAGGGTGAGATATGGCAGTGAAATTACTAGGTAAGGAACATCTTAGTCCTCCAGAATGTCGTCGTATTAGTGGTACCCTTAGCGTCTAATAATAACGTAAAATCCGTAATGCTGTTCATGTGTTCAGGCGACTGTTCAACTCATGAATTATTAGCTACTTCCGTTACTTCAAATATTACAGAAATTGTGAACGGCTCGTTAAAACGAGTTTCTTCCCTAAAGGAACGGAAAAAAAACTAATATAAAAGGTGAACAGAAAAATTGTTTATTGAAAATTTCTAAATGTATTTGACATATAAAATAAGACATACACTATTTTCAAACAAATAGTATGGAAAAAAGAATTTTATATAAAACCTCAACAGATATAAATACCAGGTTTTAAAATATTTAACCTTTATGTTTGTTTGTGATATATTTTTTATTTTGTGTATTTTACTGTTTGTTTCAGACAATATATCCTCGGCGGTTCTCAGAAGTTCACATTATCAACGCCCAGCACCTGAAGACGATTCCACTACTACTGCTCCATATAGGCTTATACCCTTGGAAAAGACAGAGGGTACAAATCCATACAAATACTGGAGATGTCAATCAGGCGATGGGTCTAGACTATTTTCCGATAGAAGAACTTCCTTATGAGTATGGAGGAAAAGCTGGTGCTATGAAGGATCTGAATGGTATGTATTACTATAAACTAGTTACTTTGTTTCACACGGATGATAGACATCGTATTATAATGTATAAACTTGACGATTTATATTTTTGGAAATTATGACTAAAACTGTTTTAATTTCCTTTGTGTAGTTTAGAAGTATACAAAAAAACAGATAAAACTGACGAATGTATCTTAGATTTTTAATAGACTAAATCATAAATATTCAATATAATATTACGTATATTCAATATTGCTTATCTTTATTCTTTCTCGAATATTTTATATGTTTGTATTTATTTTATAAGTTCTACTATGCCTAATTACCTTGCGCGTCCAAAGTTGCAAAAGAAAACTTTGCTTTTATAAATTTTATAGGAGTTAGTGTACATTTTATTTAATAATGAACTAATACAAAAACACTTATAGGTAGTATAATGGAAGAAACATCCATGTTTATTAATATTCAATATATACATGTATATAAAACTGGCTTTTACCTGCGACTTCGTCTGTTTTTTTGAGATATAAGTTACTATAGAGTAACGTTCTCATGATCCAATCTCATATAAAACTTCACTAAAATTCTTTTAGCCGTTTGTTAGTGATAACAAACAGGAAGATATACTTATACAATTACAATACTAGTATTGAAGTAAATTAATTTTATATATTGACCCAGTTTTCAAGTATATCGTCGTTTTATACATTTATTACTTACTATTACGACATGAAATAGGTCATGTTTAATTTAATATTCTCTTTAACTCACAGACGAATGGACGAAGAAACTATTACTAAACTCAAAATGGTTACAATCTGAAGAAAGGAAGTTCTATGACACGGAATTGAAACCAGAGTTGCGGTCGAGAACTCGCCACCGTAGCAGTGTACGTAGTTTTGGCAACAATGAATCCTACAACATGTTGACTAGAACACACTCGTGTAAATCTTTACACAGGCATGATGACCTTGATGAAGGTATATACGGTGCATATAGAACTCTAAAACTGTCGACTGATATGGGATATTATCTGTGATTATTAGTTTATTTGACAAGTGCGAGCAAGAATTCGTCACACACCTATGGCAATAAGATATAATATATGTTACAAAAGAACACATTCATGTAATTTTTTTACTGTCATGATGACCTTGATATATGGTATGCTTTAAAAATGACGACCGATATAGGATATATTTGAATGTTAATTTATAATTGCAATAACTTAAGTGAGACTATGAATCTGTAAGGGCAAACACATTGAGGAGAAAACAGTTGTGAAAATGTTTACACCAGCATGATTACATTGATGTATGGAATATGCAATGTTTACAGAAATCCAAAACTAGTGACCGAACAAAGAACTGGGGACATATTCAGTAATTGTTCGTTTATTTGCAAGTATAATTGGCTGTTATTACATTTTGTCAAGAACACATTTGTGTAAATTTTACACTGGCATGACCAGTAGTATATTTAACCACTACAGTCAGTACAGCGTGATACCAAGAATACCCTCGTGTAAATTTTACGACGAGCTATAGATTCTGAGAATACATTCTAATATATTTTTACACAAGTGTGATGAACTTAAACAAACGGAAACGTAACGATGCACAGAACTTTAGACCAGTATGTGTGTGAATATGTGATTTTCATAAGTTAGTTTTTATTACTTACTAAATTAACATTGTAAAGTGACGTTGTATCTCATTATTTAAATGTTTATTAGAGAGCTAGAAAATTATAAATTAAAATACTGACTCATTTGTATATTAAAAATTATATTTATTCTTTAATTTCCATTGTTTGCTTTCAATGTTATTTCTAACAGTTTCTTTTGTATATATAATTGACATATTTGCCCCATTTCGTATCCAAAGATATCATAGAACGTTAATAAAAATATCTTATTTCTATTATATCCATATCTATATAAAAATTATATTATATATTACCTATATAAAAATTAATAAAATCATATTTATGCTGAAATATGATATGATATTAAAAAAAAATATTTAATTCTCTACTTATATAGGAATATTAAAAAGACCTTTATTATTTACATTTGATACTTACTAAGTAGGTTTACACCTAATTAAGAACCTTTTAGTATTCAGAAATACGTGAAATTTACCTATAGATTGGAATTTTATGTCATGTTTTTTCCATCACGTATTCTTATGTAATGAGACAATTTGAATTTTGCCAGATAAGACACACATTGAGGAGAGATCCTATGAAATTCATAGCAATATTTGATTACCTAAAAATTAAACACCAGAGATATTATATTACTATTTACTTACAAATACAACGATTTCTAAGTAAAGCTAGAAATCTGTTTTGATCTCTACTCAGATGTCATATGGTTGACAGATTATGTATGACGTAAGCTATTTAATACCATGGCTGAAACAGAGGTAATCTGTACTTAATATACTAGATAACACACCTCCAACCAACCAATTACAGCACCGGCATTACGTTGTAATAAAAGCATAATATATGTACTAGAGTACACACCGCACTTATCAACATTGTTCAAACCAAATCACATTTAATTTAATTCACTCGTCGAATACTTCACATACATATAAAATCCAAGGAGTTGGGGTAGTTGACCGTAAAAAATGCCGGGTCTAAACAAAATTCTTCGATGTCTCTACTTTTGTATTTGCTAATATTTGATAAATTTCACGTTGTTTATGACAAATATAATTGATAAAAAACTGAGTGTTTATATTTTGCTTTCATATTTTTTTATTCTATATATATATTGTGTTACTGTACTGTGCTTATGGATGTCATGTGTAATATCTTCTCTAGCACATCATTTCACAGTGCCTCAATGGGTTTATGTATTAAATGAATCATTTGACAATGTATTATTGAAAATATCAATGAATGTGCTAAAAAATATGGAAAAAAAAATTGAATATTTTATTCCAAATATATTATGTTTTGATACTTTGGTACATGTATTCAAACTATTATTAGGTGTCTAACAATAGTCATATTTTTAGATCGGTTACGAAATCAGTTAAATCTTTCATTACTATACTAACAGAAAATATTTAAAAGTAGGTATACAACTATACACTATTAAGAATAATCTAAACAGAATCACGTATAAGAATATAAAGGATTAGGTACTAGTGATCCCATTGCTAGCCATGCACTATATTTGGTCGACCTCCACGGGGTTCACCTGGGAAACCATCATGGTCAATACCTGTTAAATCGCCATGATGGAATAACTTTATGTTCATCCTATCATTTTAAAATAAATATATATATTGTAATAAATCAGTTCCTTTGTATTTTTATGAACACTTCATTCAGTAGTACCGTATGATTCTCCGGTAGAGTTTTATTTTGACATACATGTTATGAGCAAATTTTATTTAGCAATACTATGTAATACTAGCTGTGCCGCCGGTATCACCCGCATTAATTTTAAGATATGAATTTCAATAAAAAATATAGCCTATGTGTTATTCCGATGCCTAAGCTATATTACTGTAAAGTTTCATCAAAATCCGTTTAGTAGTTTTTGCGTGAAAGAGTAACAAACATCCATACTCCCAAATTTCGGGTTTATAATATTATTAAGATTATCTTATTGTGGTAATACTAATAGTGAAGTAAAATATATGAAATATAACTTTTTATAGTAATTACCGTATCTATTACTACTTGACTGAAATATTTGCACGGTGAAGATAACATCAGATTCATATTATAAATTCCAGGCGAGATAAAACGTTAGCGTAATTTGGTGGAATGAATCAGCTGAGTGAAAGGCTTCAAACACACCGGCGGTTTAAGTGGACGGAATGATTTCGTAACTCCATTTAGAAGTCACTGTCACGTTACGACTAGGTAATCTATTGTGGCTCGCTAACTAGAATTGGAGATCAAATAATACTTCAAATTATCCAATAGTTCGAATATGTAGCCAGTACAATGAAGCTCTCGATTCGTCAGTTTATTGAAGTTCTCTGAAGCGTCCCGTTCAGTATTCAGATTTAATTGAGAAGAACTGGCACGAAACTCAACTGAATTTCTTCTTTTTTTATACCTAATGATTGCTATCTATTTTGTGTGCTAACAAACATAAATAAATAAATATGAAGACCGCTTATAAAGATTATGCTAAATACTACGCCTTAGCTGATAAACTATTTACTAAAAAAACAAAAACATATATATACCTGACACTTAAAAAACAACACGTACCTATACGTATAATTAGTAAAAATAAATAAATAAATATAAAACGTGGTAAGATCCCGTGATTTTTACTAAATATACGTATAAATAATGACCGCGTAAAGTTTAAAACAAAACGTACCTACTTTACTACAATAAAAAAAAAACAATGGAAGTCCGTATGACTTCTATTGTTTTTTTTTTTTAAGAAAAGATTGGTCGGTGTAGTTCCGAGGTTCAATATTTAGACAAAAATCTGACTTGAGACAGGAGCTAATATACTAATAGCACCTTTTTTAATAAAGAATTAGGGAATTACTCGTAAACCAAGCACTCCTCTATTCGTGAACTATTATGTACAAGACACTAAACAATTTTTTTTCATGTGTTTACGTACTTTCGGGAGAACAATAATAATAAGAGTAACAATTATATAAACACTTAAATAATGTCACAATGTCATCATGAGAATATAATGATTATGAAAACTCCAAACATTTTCAACAGCATTTCAGCTAAGAACAATAACTGACTTCTATCTCATTATTTGACTTCCAATGATTTAACCTGTCATATTCATTTTATTGTTATATGATTTTAGTTTATTATTTACGTACATTACAAATCTTCAAATAAGTTCGTTTCATATCATGCATTTATACCTTCCTCTTGATCACTCTATCTACAATATTCCTGGAAACTGTATTAAACTCAGTTGCGTGATTCAAAAGATCTAACCCTACAGATAGCAGCGGCGACTTTGTATATACTATATAAAATCCATTATCACCATTACCATCACTAGTTACTCGTACATTGCACAGCGCTGTCGACATGAAATAAAGCCCACGATACTCACTGTGATATACATTACCAGCCTTTCAAGTTTGGCGTAACTTATCAGCTCCTCCAGAAAACGCATTAAACAATTAAAACTTATGTCGTATAAAATTGCAGTCGAAGTAGAAAAATCTAATAATATACATATACAATGAAAATATAAACATAACAGAGGAGAAACAAATATAATTAAAGAAAATACCAGGCTTTCAAAAGGTGAAAGATTTCTTAAAAGGCTCGGTATATTTCGAGTTATTTTTTTTTTATACCACTTAGGTGGCAAACAAGCATACGGCCCATCTGATGGTAAACGGTTACCGTGGCCTATGGACGCCTGAAACACCAGGAGTCTCACATTCGCGTTGCCGACCCTTAAGAAACCTTAATATACCCTTCTTGAAAACCCCCATGCTGTAGTCTCTCGAGAAAACCTCGGCAGGTAGTTCATTCCACAATCTAAGTGTACGCGGGAGGAAGCTCCTCTGAAACCGCACTGTCCGAGACCACTTAGGTTCCAGCGTGTGGGGATGAATTCCCTGTCGATGGCGAGCGGTGCGATGGTAAAAGGTAGCCGTAGGCATCATGTTACAAACATAAAATATCCTGTTTTGCAAAAGTAGTTTAAATTATGTAATTAAATGAAACTAATTATCAGATTAATAATTTATTACAATGATTATATCATATAAAATTAAACGTGACATGTAAACCGTCTTTTTTAATCCAGATCACAGAAAAAGTTCCCGCTAAGATAATGAGCCACGGCGGCGATCTGAGCAACAGCGCGTTGGACTCACCCGCTTTCTAATCCGCGCTCACATGTAGATCTCCAGCATGCAGTGCACAGAAATAAATTAAGTAACTAGGTTTTGATTGCAGATTTGCTCACATTTGAACAAAAATTGAGCGGACAAAGGAGTATGAAACACTTATAGAAGGAGACACAATATACTATTTTATTCCAATATTTTCTTTTAATTATCCATAAGAAACATATTAAATCATAAAAAAAAACATTACACACACTATTTTATTTGAATGTTTAATAATGTTTGTCCAGAATATTATTTGTCTATAGTGTTATTAAATGTTAAATTAATTATGATCGAATTTCAACAACTGGGCGACCACTTTTTATTATAAATGAGATAGTTTGTCTGTATATTTGTTAGCTTATAATGAGTACGACTGAACGTATTATGAGTTATACATAGATTGTATTAGGAAAGGTACTATTTTTTATCTGTAAAGGCGGACAAATTTGCGGTAACCATACTTTGTTTAGTCATAAATCAATCCGTCCGTCACCTTCCACTGCTCACCAGTCAGTGTACAATGTT